ATAGTTTCTAACTAGACAAATGCCTTTTTTAAAACCAGTTTTTCTCTTTTGCAGCCCTGGATGGTGACCTGTCAGGAGCTACCCCAGGCAGCACTGAAGACTTCCAAAACAGCAACACCAGCATCTTGTATTTCACTAAAGTCATGTGCTTTACTGTTTCTTTCATTTTCTCCCTAGTTATTCCTCCACCTTAGAGCCTTGAGCCAAGGCTCAAAGATACATCAACTACATCTGGAAGAAGCCAAGCAGAGGAAAATCTAGTCAGGTCTCCACAAAGCACGTATTAGAAAGCCTCTTTTGCCCTTAATAGTGCCTTGAGAATCTTGCTTTTTTTTTTTTCCTTCCCTTCACTGATAATCTGAGAAAAAGCCCCGTCCCAGTTCACTCCGTGACACTTTCCCGTTTACCAAGCCTCCGGGAGTCAAAATGAGATGGAGACCCAGAGGAAGATACTTCCCTGTCACTGTGCTTGAATGTTGTCTGTTAACACAAACTTAACTCAGCTTTGGAACAGCTTTGCTAAACAGTGACAGAGCAAGAGTCAAAAAAGAAAAAAAAAGTTGTAAGAATGAAGCTGGAGGAATAACCCTCCCAGACTTCAGACAATACTACAGAGCTACAGTCATCAAAACAGTATGGTATTGGGCACAAAATCAGATCTATGGATCAATGGAACAAAACACAGAGCCTAGAAATAAACCCACAGACCTACGGTCAATCTCCAACAAAGGAGGCAAAAATATACAATGGAGAAAAGACAGCCTCTTCAGCAAGTGGTGTTGGGAAAACTGGACAGCTGTGTGTAAATCAATGAAGTTAGAAAACCCCCTCACTCCAGACACAAAAATAAACTGAAAATAGCTTAAAGATTTAGATACTATAAATCTCCCAGAAGAAAACATAGGCAAAACATTCTCTGACATAAATCTTAGCAATGTTCTCCTAGGACAGTCTACCCAGGCTATAGAAATAAAAGAAGAAATAAACAAATGGGATCTAATTAAACTTTAAAGCTTTTTCACAGCAAAGGAAACTATAACTAAAAAGACAACCTACAGAATGGGGGAAAATATTTGCAAATGATATGACTGACAACTTCCAGAACATATAAACAGCTCATACAACTTAATAAAAAAAAAAACCCAATCCAAAAAATGGGCAGAAGACCTAAACAAGCAATTCTCCAATGAAGACATACAAATAGTCAATAGGTACATGAAAAAATGCTCAATATCAATAATTATCAGAGAAATGCAAGTCAAAACTACAATAAGGTACCACCTCACACCAGTCAGAATGGCCATCATTCAAAAGTCCATGAATGCTAAATGCTGTGGAGAGGGTGTGGAGAAAAGGGAACCCTCCTACACTGTTGGTGGGGATGTAGTTTGGTGCAGCCATTATGGAAAACAGTAATAAGATTCCTTTTAAAAAAAAGAAAAATTAACTTACTATATGACCCAGCAATCCTACTCCTGGGCATGTATCTGGAGGGAACTCTAATTCAAAGAGATACATGCACCCCAATGTTCATAGCAGCACAATTTACAACAGCTAAGACGTGGAAACAACTTAAATGTCCATTGACAGATGACTGGATAATGAAGTTGTGTATATATACAATGGAATACTACTCAGTTATAAAAAAGATAAAAT